AGTTTACAGAGAACGGCGTGATAAGCAAATAATGTCCAGTGAGTAACAGTTCTGTGCATGAAATTAACTTGTTAAGGAGAAATGATGTGATGAGAATAGTCTAACAACTTATTTAAATAAACACGGATAGATACTCAAATAGCTCCTCTTTACACTAGTGATAGACATTGCTGTATTCACAACAAAGGCCTGCGCATGGGGTGTGCCCAATGATGAGCCAAATTGGAAACCAATAGAATGTTGTGCAGCATTTAGCACTTTGGAGGTCTGCGGGATATTTAAGTGACAGTCCATCATTATTACTTTGCATTATTAAATTGTTCTAAAAGGACTCTAAACAGTAATCGTTTTCTTCAGTGTAAATTCCAACAGTTTTTGCAGAAATTTCATTTTTAGAAGACCGCCAAATTTAGAATGGCGAAATAGAGAAGTAAACAGTTTTCTGTTGGCAAAAAAGTGGTAGAAAGATTGCAGAAGAAATTGCATATATTAAAAGTGAAGGTTATGGCGCCAAAGAAGCAACAGATGATAAAAAACGACAAATTTAAACCATTGCGCTAAAATTTAGATATAAGTGCAGGCGAAACTGATAAATCTCTTCCCTTTGAACCCAGAAATGCTCCTGTTTTACCTTTGTTAATCTAATCTATTGTGTCAGATTAAATATATTCAATTCAATATCTAGTTGTAGATAAATTGTGAAAATTGCTTTCGTATACCTGTTATCAAAAGGTTTTAATTATTTTTATTTTGTGCCTTATTAATGGAGTTCACAGTTTTGAAGTATGATTTAGTTGTCAGTTTTAAAACAATATATATCATTTGAGCTTTGGTTTCTTTGATGAATACATATACCTGTAAATGCTGATTCTAATTAAATATTAAAAATGTGCCCTTTATTAAATGAATATATTCTTGGGTGCACACTCTAATAGAATGTGCTGTGTCCACCTGTGATCATCATATGGAAAATATAGAAGAAACTGAGCTGAAGCAGAGGTCCATACTGCGTTCCTATCCGCAAGACTACAGTGGGCACATTATAAAGGAAAACTAGGAGAAAAAGTGAAAAATGTTGCCTGGTCCAAAAAAACAACAACATTTTTTTTGGCTGTAAAGTGCAAAAGTAAGCTTACAGGGACACTTCGGTCACCATAACAACTTCAACTAAATTAAGTTGTTATGGTGCCTAAACTTTTCCTTTAAGGATTTGGTGGAAATCTACCCAGATCTTTGGATACATCCTACCTTCTGTCAGTGGTACAGGGTATGATGGTTTTGTAATACGTGGACAACAGTTTCCTGGCCCATATTAGCCTCTTCTTTTTTTTTTTTTTGCCACCTGAGCATCATTTTGAAAGGCCCAGTGTAGCTAAGCATGATTACTTTCTATTTTGAGGCTCTGTTATAATTGGATACTTGCAGTGGTATAATGAGTCATGTCACAAAGTATGTATCACCTCAGCTGGTACCATGAACGTGGCAAAGAGTTCAGTGTACTATTACCACTGCCAGATCTCCATCCAATAGAGCACCATTGGCATGATATGGACAGTAGGGTCCAAAACATGAATGTTTTTTTGTTTGTTTTTAATGTACAAGAATAAAATAGCCCTGAGTCCTTAAGCAATATTTTCTTTCACTTGTCAAATTCATTCTTCAAGAAATATAGGATTATTTAAAGGCAAAAGGGAACCTACCCTAGTATTAAATAGGTTTAAGGAGTAAAGCAGGAACTGTGACTTATTGTAATTTGTAATTAGATAAGATTATGGATATTGGACATGTCTCATTCAAATACTTTATCAGACCTGCAATGCACTGGCATGATGATAAATATTGTATTGTACTAAAAATGTCTTCAAACTTTTATTTGCTGAAAAGGTGAATCTGCCATTTGTGTTTTACATTCAAGTACTAGCCAGTTGTGAAAACCATCAGGCATTGAACACTTTAACTAACACGTTAATTCACTAAGTTCCAAATTGCAGTGATCTGAAATCTGATGGAAACCAATGGGCTAAAACAGCTTAGCGGTGACAAATCAGAGTTAGTATAAACGTTTATATTCCGTGACACATTTGCACAAGGTATCAGATAGAACATTGGCCAATAACGGAACAGTCTGTCTGCTTTCTTTCTTATCCATCACTGACACTCTGATTTACCCTGTCACACATCAGTTAGTGCTACATTACTACAGTTAATTGCAGAATGTTCTCTCCATTGTACTTGCACAGCTTGTGATGAACAACTAACGTATTATCAAATAGTTAAACACAGAACCACAAAAATGTTAAAGATCGTAAGAAATTCAATTTTAAGGAACTGAGAATCCAATGTAAACAAGAGGTACAGATCAAGTTTCAACTGATGTATGTAACTCACCCATTAACATGCACTAGGATGTGCTCACCATTATGACATTCAAGGGGTGAATGAGTCACCCTTATTTGTTGGCTGGTTAGTTAGATTGTAAAGACATTATGTGTTTGTTTAGGGGCCCTTCCAAATGGGGTGAGGATGGTTCTGGTCCCAGAGATGCTGTAAGGGAATATAGTTTTGTATGTTTAATTACAACTTAGTAAATGGGACGGGGGAGAGGTTGGAGTGAAAAAAGATTGGAGAATCCCTGGCACTGATCCACCCAAATCCGCCTACAGGAAGAAATCTTTCCATTACATCGAGATACAATGAATGTTAGTGGCAGAGTGAATAAAACTGCTTATACATGCTTTTGTTACATTGCCCATGGAATTCCGGAGTCATGGTTTTAGTAGCAACCAATGAATCCATAAAAAAATAATTCAAAAATATTAGTTGTCATAGTTTTTTTTTTTTGTAACTGATACTACTTTACCAACCAATTGTTAACTTCTTTTTTATTATTTTCTAGTAGTCTACTCTAGTGTAGCCTTCTGTGAAGTGTAGTTATCTACTAAATTGGATATATTGGTTTATTGCCAAAGGAATTGCAAATATTGTGTAAAATAGCTAAATATGAAAAAGTTTGGCTATTTTTCAGTTTGGCCTAAAATTTGCATTGCCTTTGTCAGTTTTTTTTGCAATTTCTGTGCCTCTGCATCTCTGTAGTGAGACTGAAAATCTCCTCCATTCAACCACAGTATATAGCAACTTTTGTTGGTTAAACTTAATGGCTGCATTATATCAACCAAGGAGAGGAAAGAGGCAAATCAGAGCATACTAATTGCACTATGGTGATTATTTGCAGTCTGCAAAGCTTTGTATTGTAGAGCTATTTAAATTAACCTACTGTATAAGCAGAATAATAATATGTAAAGTATAAACATTTATTTGTGTTTCATGATAATTCGTGGGCCATGTTTTGAATACTTTACTATGTTTTTTGTTTGTTTTTAATTAAGAAATATGGCAGTGTAGGTTAAATATCCTATTCCTACCTATATATTACAGTCTGATTTCCCATGATACCTTGACTCCAAAAGAGTTTACTTCTGGTAACAAATACTTTGGTAATTTTTTTTTTTTTTTTTTACATAGAATGCTATGTATATCTGTTTTTCCCAAATATCAAGTTGACTTTTAAACTGATCTTCCCGATGCTTTAACTCTACAGACGTTTGTCAGTCTCTTAGTATTATACAGTAGCTCAAAGTTTTTTAAATTGGATCATGGGGGATTGCTTTTATTGGATGGTAACTTTCATCACTGGGATTTTGTGTTTGCATTCAAATATTAATATGTTAAACTAATTGGAAACAGTCATGTTTATCTTCTTTTAATGCGTTCACATTATATATCCCACTTTCAGACTATAGCAGGCATGTAACCAACTTGTAAAATATGGGCAAAATTGCTGATCTGGAAAAATTCTACATTTCAGCTTTATTCATAGCTTAATTTTAGCCTGCTTTTTCTAATGTGGTTTTCAATTCACTGCAGCTGTGTGTTGAGTTAATAAATACCATATAGCCAAAATTTTTACAGTACCACTCAACTTTTCACCTTCACTTCTAGAGCAACAACATGTCTTATTTAAAACCTGTTGGCCAATTAATTGTGTTGACCCTCGTGTCTACCTAACCTGTCAAACTGTTTTTCAGTATAAACTAACACTTACCAAGTATGTTTATTTACCACTGGTTTGAGTTATGTATCGCTAACCTACCTATCTCTTTGAGTTGTATAGTACATACCTAATACATAATAATGGCAAAACATCATAGACAAGCAAGAACGGTAGGTGACCATAGTTCTGCTCAAACAAATAAATGCCAAACAGCAAGTTGTGGTGAGTTGAGTCCAACTTTAAAATTCATGCTTAAAAGCTCGGAAAAGCTGGGGTCTTGTTTTACCCTTTCTTTAAAACTCCGTTTTGCTCTGCCAGCCGTCAAAACTTCACATTTCTTTCTTCACCTACATTTTCATGTCATAGTTTAGTTTTTTTTTGTTTTTTTTTATAATTCTTTATTTTTGTGCACAAAATATCATACAAGCCTGCAGAGCCACGATGACTGATGTATGCATATCAACAGTAATCACATACGTGGCAGAGCAAAACAGCACATTTTATATATGTTAAGAACTTCATGCTTTGGAACAGTGTTAAACAGTAGATTGTCAGGTTACGTGTATATATCATAACAAGCTTTGAAACCTTAATGATTAGTAGTGTTTGTGCAGGGCTGCATGAACATATGCAAGCAAAGATTGTGTTTATAGTTATAGGTGTGTGGCATAGCCAAATGGGGTACATATGAGAAGAAGGATTAAGCATTTAGCTAGAGTGTACTCCTATGGGTTTCATATTGTAAAACTTAACATTAGTAGATTATAAGATTTAGAAATGCCAGTGAGAGGATAAGCTAATGTAAGACAATACAAGACAGCCTTGTGTGTCAGTTGAGCAATAGGTGAGCTCAGTCTATCGGCTAGACATCAGCCGATTCCACAGTCTTGGCTCAATGAGACTCCAGCACCGCTGTCAGGCAAGGGGGTCAGGTGGGCTCCGTTGCAACTCACCAGCCTGTCGTGGGTATCTTGTGTGGTGGGCTTACGTTCTGTGTCTGGGTGTTTCCTCCAGGTACCGAGTCAAAGCCCTTCAGCCCTTCAGCTTTGTTAGTTTGTTGGCGGGTAAGGCACTGAGTGTCCATCTTGGCCCCCGCTGGTTGTGTGCCAAGCGTGGTCCCCCCAGTAGTGTCCTCTTGGCTCGAGCCGCAGTGGGCCATGCGCGTGGGCTTTCGGCCTGCGTCGGGACCCAGGTAGGCGGTTTCTGATGCGTGGTCTATGGCCCAGGAGTCGAGGGGTAGCTCTCGCTCTCCTCCCTCGCTTCGTCCCGTCCAGTGGCTCCTCGGTGCTTGTCGGGGCTGGTGTATGCGCCAGAGGGATGACTGGCTGACGAGGGGCCTTTTTGGCTGTTTGGGTCTGTGCCAGTTTCTTCCAGAAGGCGGCCAGTATAACTTCCAGCCTTTCTTCAAGAATGTGGCTTGAGTGCACATGGCGGTGGCCATTTTGCGGGTCCGCGCCTCGTCTCGCTGCTAGCATGTTTTTGTCAGCTGGTTTTCCGCCCATGTGTGCCCTCTCTGGGTTGGACCGGGATAACCCCCACCGATTCGGGGGAGGAGCAGGGTGCTCGTGGGTCTCTGGTGCGGTGGCTGGGAAAGCGGCTGCCTCTTCCGTTCCCCACCGCCTGTAAGCCACGGCTTGCCATCTTGGGCTCCCGATCTCCTGTATACTCGTGTAAGGCGTCGGGCTTGTCGCCAGGTCCTCCTGTATTCCGGAATCGGATCCCGGCTGGGAAATTGTTTCGTTTTTGGCGAGTAATCATGATAAATTGGGTTTGTGTGTTGGGAACTCAGCTTTTGTGCGTCAGCTCTGCTTGCTGGCTTGGCCCCGCCCCCCATAGTTTAGTTTTTAAGGGATATGTTACCTTCCCATCTAATATTCAGAAACCTTTGCTTCAGTGATTGCCTGGTAATGTAGATGTTACGGAGTTGGTCGATAGATGGGGACTGGTCGATCATTTGAGAAATAGAAGAATGGGTGTCTCATTGTTTTTATTTATAAAGCAGACGATCTACTAAAGAAAACAAGGCTCTGTGCCAGTTCTTGATGTAAAAAACAGGCACTGGATGTAATTGGCTGCCAGTTAGAACATATAATAAACATAGCATTATATTCTGAAGAATAAGTATCTTGTACTTGGGTCCACAAAGACATCGCATTTTACCTTCTAGAAGTAGCTTGCATAACCGCAGACAGTTTGGGGAATGAAAGATATACCACCACAGTTGCAACGTCCATTAATATTTCTTAATGGTTACTGAACAAAGACAGTGATTTAAAAGTTCAGTTTGTTGAGTAGGCTGCCATTCCTTGAAAATTTATTGCAGTTGTTGGAAAAATTATCCTGCCAAGATTTTTGGATACGTTGCTATGTAAGTCTTGAATCAAACATTAAATGCTCCGAGATCAAACAAACTCCTATTTTAAGTAAAGTTTTACAAACTGTCTATGTATCTGCTTGTATTTTGTGTTGTCTGTTACTGCAGTATGTAGACAAACTCAACATTAAGATTGTTAAAAGGGACACCTCCAAGCTCCTTGACCCACACAAGTTTACTGTAGTGGATATGATGCAAGGACGCCATGGGTGTAGCATATGTGTTATTTGTCAAACCAAATACAAGCTTTTTGACAAAGAATCCAAGTAGTCTCCAGCCCCCGAAGACCGCCCCTTTGGCTTCAGACATCTGGAGGAATTTGTAAATTATTATCATGAGTCCATAATATTTATATCACAGAGAGCCAGTATCAGTTTAATTACTCTAAAAGGGTTCCTGGTGATTCAGAATGATCAAATCCTGCTTATCTATTCAAATACATTGGACGCATTATGAGGAAGGTAAAATGTTCTAATACAATGCCCCATGATATGAGGGTGGGCTCTTTGTTGTCTTGAAAACATTTTAACAAAATACAATCTGACTGTCCCAACAGGCTCTTTGCACTATAACCACTTCAATAAACTATGTTGATTTTTTTCTCATACATTTTAACGGAAAATGAATTGTGTATAAAGCACAGAGGAGTGCAGATAAAACCTTATCCTTTTCTCTGCTTTGTGAGATTCTAGCTTAGAGGTTTTGGATTGACAGTATCATTTGCTTTAATTTGAGATGACCCCATAATGTTTAATGCAGACAAACCCATATTATTATTTCTTTATTCCAAGAACTGACTTTTATTACAATAATCCAATAAGAGAGTTATCATGCTTTCTTTTTATAGCTGTGTCACAGGGTGTAAATGTTATATTGTATGGGGTATGAAACAGAGAAACCATTCTTTTCTTCCCTTTTACTTTTTAGGTGGTGTAGAGCGTGTTGTACAGAGGTTGGCTATTGTCATCATTGATTAGTTGATATTCTCAAAGAATCAAAACACCAGTTATTAGCTGACACTATTAAATTGGAGGTATCCTGGGGACATGAGTATGCCTAAAAGGTCTAGACTTTCTATGGCTGTATAGCTTCAATAATTAAAGGGACACTGAAGGCACCCAGACCACTTCAGCTTATTAAAGTGGTCTGGGTGCAGTATCCCTATTGCACTTAGTGCTGCAATGTTTACAGAGAAACTGCAATGTTTTCATTGCAGCACTAAGTCAGCCTCTAGTGGCTGTCTACCAGACAGCCACTAGAGGGCTTTATGGCTCCTAACGGACCATTGGTCCGGTATCTGACGCTGGACGTCCTCAAGCTTTTTCCCCCATAGGAAAGCATTGATTCAATGCTTTCCTATGGGGAGGTCTAATGAGCGCGGCATTTGCCACACATGCCTATTAGCGCCCGCTCGTTGCAGGACGTCTGGCGGAACAGAGCGGCGACCCAGCACCAAGGGACATCGACTCTGAGATCAGGTAAATAAATAAATGGAGGAGGGCAAGGGAGGGGGGAGGCAGGGGGAGCGATAGTGCCAGAAATACAGCCTTGTATTCCTGGCACTATAGTATCCCTTTAAGGTTCAGTTAAAAATTGTACTGTGTGTTAGGATCCATAACTTTTTTCCACTAATATCAGTTAATGAATCTACAAAATGTCTTGTAAAACATGTACACTGTTGAGTACTCTTGGTTGGACCCAAGATTAGATCAATATCAGTTACATAACAGTAAAGTAAAAGAAAAGTTGATATGAGACATACTTTGATTATATTTCTTCACTTGAATGGGTACTTGGATGAAAAGCAATCTTCTACTAGTGGTGGTGGTGGTAGTGCAGTTGAGTACCAAGGGTCTTAATTTTTAACACTCTTTCAGGAATGTGCATCTAATAAAGATAGATTAAAAGACTTTACCATAATATGTGTACTGGAAGGCTGGATCTTTCCAGACAATGAACGTGTATAATGATTATCTAATGTGAGATTATTATTTCAGGTGAAAAGATCATTTTCACAACATTTACTTTATTGTCTTTTTTCCCCAGCCATGAAACTCATAAACAACTTCATCTTCCTTTCAACGCTACTATTTCTGGCTGCGGAGGCAATAGAAAAACGTCAATCAGCAACTAAAAATGAATTAGAATTGCAATCCAATGTATTAAGTGAGTACATATGGTTAGAAGATCATTTACACTGTGTTTTCATAAACTTTCAGTATCTATTGCGATTGAAAACTTAAAGGGTAATTACTATACATGTATGTTCTTTGTCCTTTAAGAGTATTGTCGTATTGTGCTTTTGTAAAAATATAAGTTCAAGGTTACGTTGTTTGTGACGTTGTTGATCTAGAATTCCAGGGACCAATAATCATACCCATAAACGATTTCTATGTGGATGGTAGGACACTAGACCAGGGGTAGGCAACCTTTTAGTAGCACTGTGCCGATATAGGATTGTGATGTCCCGTAGCGTGCCAATCCTATTTTTTTAAATTGAGGTGTGTATGCTGCCGTATTCTGCTTGTGTTATTTTTACTGTAATTGCTTTGTATTGTTGTATTTGTGTGTATATGAGCTATTATGTTGTATATGTTCATTAGTAGTTTATGGTATCGTGTATGATACATATGAATGCGGGCTGTGTATGGGGGCTGCTTGTGGAATTGTGTGTGGATGGATATGTCACATTGTGTGTTTGGTAGTGTGTGGGAGCTGTTTGGGTTATTGCATGTGAGAGGCTGCATGCGGGGTTGTGTGCATGTATGTGGATTGTTAGTGGTGTTGCGTTTGTGGGGATTGTGTGTATGTTTGTGTGTGGGCTGTTCGTATTATTTGTATGATGGGAGGGTTATTCTGCATTTCTGTGTATATCTAGCAGTGTGGCTTCCCTAGGTTCCAGTGGGGACCAGGCCGGCCAGGTATAGGTCAAGAATAGGAGCTGCAACAGCAGCTGCAGGCTGCTCTGCTACAGTGTGGATTCCCATTCACAAGTGCTGGGAGGAAGTGATCTGAGATCACTACCTCTATGTGCTGCAATGCATAAATTGAGGATTGTCCTTCACCAACTCTTCGTTTTAGCAGATATCTGAAGTTTTATTGGGACTCCTAATAGGACAGAGCCTGTTTGGCTCTAGCAGCCTTGAGTGCCGTGCAAAGACACCTTGAGTGCCGTGCATGGCACTAGTGCCGTAGGTTGCCTACCCCTGCACTAGACTATGTGTGCCAACATTTGCTGGTCTACTATAGGGAACAATACAACATAGGAACATACTAGTGATGATATCTTACTCAAAAGCACAAATGGCTACAATATGTATTGTATTACTGTATTTATTATACATATATATATATATATATATATATACACACACACACACACACACACACACACACACACACACACATAATACATCAATGTAATTAAATATTATACAGAGCAGTTAGAAGAAAGTACAACAACACATTGAAGTACATATTAGTCACTTGGATTTCAACAATGAGGTGAAAGAAGAAAAAACTCTGATATCACAACAAAAAAAGTACTTCCCAATGTTTTGCAAGGCCTTTCTCAAGGAAGGATAACCAGATATTGGAGAATGACTCTATATAACAATTTAAAGGGACAGTATAGGCACCCAGACAACTTCATATCATTGAAGTGCTCTAGGTGCAGTGCCCCTGTTTCCTTACACCTGCAATCTAAAACATCAACTGACGTAGGCGGGGAAGAAGCCCTACCCAGCACAAAGACTGGAATCAGTGTTGAAAGGGCTATTTAACCCGTGGGACTGTGGGGCTGCACAGGATGAAGGACTCTGTCGTGTTAGGAATACAGCTATAGTGTTCCTTTAAATAGTGGTGTTATTCAACACCTGTGGGAGTGGGTGGTCACCAACTAATTGATGGGTACAATGTGTCCACAAACCAAAAGGCTGTGGTCACAGAGAATCCAAATCTCTCAGATGTCTACTACATGGGCAAATATAATCTTATCAACATTGATGCAAAATCCAGTTTATGGTTAATACCAAAGGTACATCTACCCTTAGTGATATATGCCACAA